CGTTCATGCCAGACTGGGGAGAGAGGTGTTGAAATTATGTAAAATATGTGAAAAATTATGTGTTTTTCGAACAACCTAGTATGAGAGCCTGTTCTAGTACACCCCCAAAACAAAATCAAGACTTTGTAAAAGAGCATAATAGGACCCCTTTAAAAAGTCAAGGGTCAAAAGCCCAACTAAAGTAAACACTGACCACAAACATTACTGTAAATCTGAGGAGAGTTAATTTAACACCGGTGGTTTTGCTGTGTTCATACTCAATTTCTCCTTAACTATCAATGTCCAGTTTAAAGAGTTAAAAGTTTCAAATCAATATTTCTCATTACAGGTAAAAACTATTCAATAAAACATGACTACACTCACTGTAGTTTCTGCAGTTTACAGTGTGGATCCTCCAGTAGAGCAGAGAGCAGCTTCACTCCTGAGTCTCCTGGATTATTATCACTCAGATTCAGTTCTGTCAGGTGTGAGGGGTTTGATCTCAGAGCTGAAATCAGAGCAGCACAGCCTTCCTGTGTAATATGACAGTTGGAAAGGCTGCAAAGAATATAGAGAAAAATTAAAGATGAGTTAACAGTGCTTGACTCATGTGTCTAATGTAATTGTTTTCTTATGCAATTTTAGCTGAAAAACACACATTATACATTATCAATTATCAAACCAGGCACTGAGACTGACTCAGACTCAAGTCCCAAAAATAGACTTTAGACTCGACTCAACCTGAAATGACTTCAGATCTTCCCACAACTTGAGTTTTAACCTTACTTATTGAAGAAGATTTTGTATTTTAATATATATTCAGCATGCTTATAGTGGAGTGGTAAATGCCGTGTACATCTTTTTCCCCCCTGATTTAATATTGAAAGCAGAAAAATTTGAAAACAGCACATTTTTTATTTTATTAAAAACAGAATTTGGCTTGATTTTTCAATTTTATATTTTGGGATAGAAAATTGATATTTGATTTCCACATGTGGGAAGACATGAAACACACCTTTCCGCTGATTGGATAACCAAAGATCAACCCGTGTTGTACAAACATTTATTTATAACTGTTACAAGTCCATGAAGATTCCCACTGTGAAATTACTGTGAAAGTAATGCCACTATTAACCTGGAATATAATGTAATTTCACACTAAAATTTTAACAGTAAAGCTATTATATAAAAAAAAAGATTAATAATAAAAAAATCCTAATTTTATGGAAAATAACCATGATTTTTTTTTCTTAAGGTTGCTTTTATTTTAAATTGTAGTCAAAATTCACAAATTACAGTAATTCCCATTTTTACAGAAAAAAATACTGTATTTTGTACAGCATTTTTCAGCTTTCTTAAATGTATGTAAAATTTCAAATATAATCTGTAACTATAACAACACCGTTAGATGATTAAAACATACAAATGACTGGCAGCAATAGCTGCCAAACACAAACTATAAATTTAAAGTAAAATCTTGTTTACATGAGCTGAAACTTCTCAGGTTACGCATGTAACCATGGTTCCCTGAGAATGGGGAACGAGAAGCTGCGTCCTCTAGAGGGCGCTAGGGGAATGCCTCCAGCATGACTGGTGTCTGAAGCATGAATGAAAAACGACGATGAACTTGACATTGGCAGGCAGCAGCCTACGACATAAACAATAAAGTGACTGCGGGTATAAAAGAGCACCTGTGGAATATGTCATCCACTTCTTTGTCTGAAGGAGAAGCAGGCAGGAATGCCCAACGCATGGCAAGAGGACGCAGAGTCTTGTTCCCTATTCTCAGGGAACCATGGTACATGCGTAACCTGAGACGTTACCTTTCGAAAGGGAACTCCACGCTGCATCCTCTAGAGGTTGCTAGGGGAACGGTATACCAACGCCGCCATGCTGAGGGATGAGTGCCCAAATAACTGGATTTCCCAAGTCAAAGACTCAAGAAACATCATCCCTGCCCCAGAGAAATCTCTGTGGCCAGAACCCGAGCTACAAGCCTCTACAGGCAGGCTCAAAGCTTCCCAACGTCATAGACTAGCTCACCCACCAAAGTATGGAACTCTAAGAGTTGAGGTCTCAGCATAACAACTCTCTAGAATGAGAGGAGACCTGGCTACACTCAGCACTAAACAGCAAAATCCCCGGTGTCAAATTAACACTGCTGGGTGTCTATATATGTCCACACTACAGAGTGTTAAACGTAACACTCAAGCTTTGATTGGTGCACCCAGAATGCACTGCAGCATGAAGCTTTTTGTTTATTGTCACCATTGTTGAGATTCATATGCTGATTCTTGATGAATGTTTGCGTCTTTGTTTTACAGATGTTCAAAATGTCTAGTCTGCAAAGTGTTTCTAAAATTCACCAAATTATCTGATTAAGTCATTACTATTATCAGCAACATTAAATTAATTTTACATAACACAGAATCATGCCAATTACACTACAAACAAATCATTATTAATAACCTGCCAACAACACCAGATTATGTTTTTTTATGGCTTTTATCATAACAAATGTGTTTCATAAACAGAGTTACAACAGCCAGAGAAAAAAATGTATGTTAGAAAGTCAAGAGTCCAACTAACGCAAACAATGATCACATCAATGGTGACTTTAAATGAAACATTCAACATCTAAACCTCTGTTCTCAATAAAAACTTTTTTAGACATATTTCAGAAATAAAATAAAACTGGTTAGTAATAAGTGAAGCTGGTAATGCTGTTTGTGGAGTTGTTTAATTCTCCTCTCCTGAGATCTTGAGAGATTTAATGTGTTTTATGTCAGTTGATTTCATCTAAGGCTGTGACTGGAACTCAGTTGTAGTTGTTGTGTTTCTCTTCAGTGATTGTGCTTGTTAACAGCAGGTGTTCATCACTAATGCTCAATAATCACTTAATTAATAAATTAATTATCTCATTCACTTCAACACCACTTCAGTGTTACTTTTAAAACTATGTATAGTGTGGACACATATAGACACCCACACTGTAAAAAATTGCTGTAAAAAAACGGCCATGTTTTTACAGTAACATACTGCTTTTTAATTAAATCAGTAAAATCCTGTAGAAAACAATGCATTCTGGGTAGTATTTATTGTTTTAGAGAAAATGGCCTTCTGCAGTGCCGTGAATCAGAGTTGGGACCAAGTCATTCCTTTCAAGTCACAAGCAAGTCTTGAGTCAAATCCCAAGAATTAACAGAGGTTTAGATGTTGATGTTTTATTGGTCAAGAAAAGGAAAAACACACACACACACGATGCCACCATAATTGTGGTCAATGTTTGCTTTAGTTTGTCTCTTGACCCTTTTAGTAATTCACTTCTAAGCATTTGCAATAATCTCACCAAACATTTGTACATTGTTGAATCAAAAGCTTGAAGTAGAAGATTAGCTTATACTTTCATCTTATAACTAATTTGAATGAACATCATGAAGTGGTCTTTCTCTTTTTGGTTTATTGACTTTCAGCTATTACAGAACTGCGACAACAAAACATAAATAAAAAATCCTATTAAACCAATTTCACCATAATTCTTCAATACTGAAAAGAAAAAAAAGAACTGTATTAACTCAGGCTTTTAAATATGAACACTTATCATACGATCCTCAACAGTGGTGACAATAATTTTTCATACTGCAGTGCATGATGGGAGTTTTTTACTATGGTGTAACCCAGCATGCATTGCAGCATAAAGCATTTTGTTGATTGTCACCATTGTTGAGATTCATATGCTGGTTCTTGATGTCTGTATCTAAATAGTACAGGTGTTAGAATTTTTATATTCATTATATCAATTTCAAACTCATTCAAACATGAGATAAATACAGTTTTTATAAATAAAACAACTCATTTTGTAAGTAATCAGGCCAGCTCATGACAACTATCTCATCATTCAAAAACAGCCAATAGCTGCTCACTGTACAAAACCAATCTCACTGCTTTACAACACCACATGCATTACTACAGAGAGAAATATAACACAAAAAGTCAAGGGTCAAGAGCCCAACTAAAGCAAACAATGATCTCCATGATGGTGGCATCATTTTAACCAATAAAACATCAACACCTGATCCTCTGTAATTCTCAATAACAGCAGGTGTTCATCACTAATGCACAATCATCATTTAATTAGTCACTTAATTATCTCATTAACTTTAACTCTTTGAGGACTTGGGATATGACTCGAGACTTGCTTGTGACTTGAAAGGAATGACTTGGTCCCACCTCTGCTGTGAATTAACAGTGTTCAGAGTCGACACTCAGAGACTGTGTTTCAAATCACTATACCCTCATTCACTATTCCCTACATGAGTTTACTAATAGAGTCCACCTGACAGAGAGAATGAGAACTAATGCATGAATTCAGCCAATGATGAACAGCTGCTGTTAACAAGCAGAATCACTGAAGAAAAGAGCAAGAAATGAAACTACAACTGACATACAGCCACAGATTTAGATGAAATCAACTGAAATAAAACAGCAGAGGATGATTAAACAACTCCAAAAACAGCATTACCAGCTTCACACATTACAATTTGACTTCAGTTCTGTCATATATCTACAAAAATATGGTGAGGTCTTTCATCAGACCTCACCATTATGGTGATCAGATCTTTAGTTGGTCTCTTGACCCTTGACTTTTTTTTTTAATGTCGCTATTGATGAGGATTGTATGATCTTTGAATAATATCAGTCTTTAAATACAAAATATTTAAAAAGTACCTAAAGTATACTTGCAATACTTCCACTTTAGCACTATCAAATATACTTCAGTATATCTTTAGTTGGACTTCAGCACTACTTCCACACAATTAAAGTGCATTACGTACAAAATTAGTTGTTCCAATTTAGCAGACTTTAAGTATACCAGTTTAGTATACCAAAAGTACAATTGCAGGGTATTATTATTAAGTACATAAATATGTAAAAGTAATTGTAGTATACTTAAAATAAAATAAATTTAAAATACATTTTAGTACATTTATTTTTCACTAGTATATACAAACAGTATGATTTTTCAGGAAAAAAACAAAATATAATGGCAGCACCCTAAATGGCTGTTACATGATTATGTGCATCTCTTGTTCCGTTACCCAGATAGCAACATAGTGTTGGCTCAGATCCGGCCCACATCTGACACATGTGGAATGATGATCTGGCCCACATGTAGTGTGGAATGATGGCACTTGTGTGGACCGCTCCTGTTTGCCAGATCTGGTTCACAAGCAGGCCATAGCAAAGCCACATGCAAAGCCCTGAAATGTCAGCGGAGACCAGGACATCTAGATGTGCCCCAGAGACTGATCCCCTCCGAAGACCTCATCTCCTACACGGCTATTGGGACAAGATCACGGGAACCAGATGAGTCCTCTGCACAATCTGACTCTGCTGCAGCCTAGATTTAAACTGCTGGTTTTGTCTGGCCAGAGGTGAAAGACACACTATTTCCCCGTTTAATACTGTAAAGCTGCTTTGACACAACTTGCATTGTAAAAAGGGCTATACAAATCTACAGAGGTCTACAGACCTTTAATAAACACACCATCATAGCAGCCAGCGAAGACAAACTAATTGTAATAAGAGTTAAGAGCCCAATTAAATCACTAACAAACACTAATCGCCATTATGGTGACTTCAAATGAAACAAACATTGATAATTAACGGGTTTAAATCTAATAAGAACTTCTGTAGATGTTTGACAGAAAGTAATTCTGGTTAGTAATAAGTGAAGCTGGTAATGCCGTTGTTGAATCCTCCTCTGCTGAGATCTGTAGAGATTTAATGTATTTTGTCTTCAGCTGATTTCATCTTAGGCTGTGGCTTAGGTCAGTCGTACACAGCAAAATCCCCGGTGTTAAATTAACACTGCTGGGTGTCTATATGGGTCCACACTACAGCAGTGTTGAAATTAATTATTAGAGTGTTGCTGTAATAGTTACAGTGAATGAATTTTAAACCTATGTAATGCATATTAAAATTTGAACTCCTATGAAATTAAGACAAACACAGACATCAAGAACCAGCATTTGAATCTTAACAATGGTGACAATCAACAAAATGCTTTATGCTGCAATGCATGCTGGGTAACACCATAATAAAAACTCCCATCATGCACGGCAGTATGAAAAATTATTGTCACCACTGTTGAGGATCGTATAATAAGTTTTCATGTCTAAAAGCCTGAGCTGATAAGGTTCATTTTTTTCAATACTGAAGTATTATGGTGGCGTTTGTTTAATAGAACTATTTTTTTTTTCAGTTTTGTAATAGCTGAATGTCAGTCAACAAACCAAGGACAGAGACCACTTCCTGATGTTTATTCAAATGAGTTATAAGCAGAAAGTGTAAGCTAATCTGCTATTTCAAGATTTGCAGCAGTGCGCAAATGTTTGCTGTGAAACAGTATTGCAATAGCTTAAAAGCAAATTACTTAAAATTATTAAAAGGGTCAAGGGACAAACTAAAGAAAACCTTGACCACAATTATGATGGCATTGTGTGTGTTTTTTTTTCAGTTGATTCCATCCAAGGCTGTGGCTAAAGTCAGTTGTAGTTCTTGTGTTTCTCTTTTCTTCAATGATGCTGCTTGTTAACAGCAGCTGTTCATCACTAATGCACAATCATCATTTAATTAGTCACTTAATTATCTCATTAACTTTAACTCTTTGAGGACTTGGGATTTGACTTGAGACTTGCTTGTGACTTGTGAAAGGAATCAAGTATGTATCGCTGCAGCCCGGAGACCTCCAAGTGGGAGGGACTTACGCCACAAGTAGGTTGGGAAACCTCCAAGTGGGAGGGACTTATGCCGCAAGTAGGTTGGGAGACCTCCAAGTGGGAGGGACTTACGCCGCAAGTAGGTTGGGAGACCTCCAAGTGGGAGGGACTTATGCCGCAAGTAGGTTGGGAGACCTCCAAGTGGGAGGGACTTACGCCGCAAGTAGGTTGGGAGACCTCCAAGTGGGAGGGACTTAACACCGCGAGCATGCGCACATCAATATAGTGTAATTTTTCTCACACTGTACAACAATAATGACTATTTTTGCATTATTGTAAGGGGAGGTTTAGGGTTGGGTTAGGTGTAGACGTTAATAAAACACAAGCTGTAACTCTGTGTCATGTACAAGACAATAAATAAATCAATCAAAAGCCCCAGGAGGTTTGCACAGCCTACTTGGAGCTCAAGTCCCACCCATTTGGAGCTGGCTCCGACCTCCGTTTATACCTAACTCAAAGGAATGACTTCACCTCTGGTGAAGTCAGCTGGCTGAGTTCATGGGTGGAATAAACACATGGCAGGACTTTTACTTTCTGACCCCTGGACTTTACACCTCTGACCCCTGGACTTTACACCTCTGCATGTGGGCCAGATCATCATTCCACACGTGCCAGATGTGGGCCGGATCTGGGCCGACACTATGTTGCTATCTGGGCAGTGGCACTGACTAAAATCTTTTACCTCTTCCACAATTTTACTAAAAAATATTTTATCTAATAATTTAATGGAACGTAACTATTATACTTATGAATTATTAGATTCAATTTGAATTATTTTCATTTAATATATTTCAACAAACCTGAATGTAACTTTTTAGTGAACGATGATGATCCTAATCTAATATTTGTAATATCAGAGTATTTACAACCCTGTTCTTGGAAGCACCTCAGATTTGCACAGTTTAGATGAATCTCTCTTATGAAACAGGCTTGATTCAACACATCTGGTCACTAGTAGAGCACTCTATGATGTTATCTGAGTGTGTCAAATAAAAAAAGGCCTCAGAATATACAAAAACCGTGTAGAGAAACACAGGCCTACTGTACACAATAAGGTCAATAAAACAAAGACACTGTAAAATACTCACTCAGCCTTTCTAGATGCTTTGATTACTGGCAGCAGCCTCAGGAGACATTCTTCTGATGGATCATATTTATTCAGTTTAAACTCATCCAGCTCTTCTTCTGAATTCAACAGCATAAACACCAGAGCGGACCACTGAGCAGGAGATAGTCTGACTCCAGAGAGGCAACGGGCACCTGTTCTGCTCAGGTATGTTTGGACTTCCTGCTCCAGTGAGCGATCATTCAGTTCATTCAGACAGTGGAACAGATTGATGGATTTCTCTGGAGAGGGATTCTCCCTGATCTTTTGTTTGATGTATTCAGCTGTTTCCGGATTGTTGTGTGAGCTGCTTATTGTCTTTCTCAGGAGGCCTTGTAAGAGAGTCTGATTAGACTCTAGTGAGAGACCAAGAAGGAACCGGAGGAAAAGGTCCCAGTGTCCGTTCTCGCTCTGTAAGGCCTTGTCCACCTCTCCCTTCAGTAAACTGGTCATTGGTGACCCGAACATATTCAACAGTCCTGTGTTATGTTCAGAAAAGGACAGCAGCTTGAATAAAGCAGCAAGAAACTCCTGAACACTCAGATGAACAAAGCTGTACACCTTCCCCAGCTGCAGTCCAAACTCCTCTCTGAAGATCTGGGTACAAACTCCTGAGTACACGGACACTTCTCTGACATCAATGCCGCTCTCTTTCAGGTCCTCCTCATAGAAGATCAGGTTCCCTTTTTCCAGCTGTTCAAAAGCCAGTTTTCCTAGAGACAGAATAGTCTTTCTAGCCTGACGAGGATCGATTTCATATTTCCCATCATACTTCTGTGCCTTCAGTTTGGTCTGAAAGATCAGGAAGTGTGTGAACATTTGTGTGAGAGTCTTGGGAATCTCTGCACTCTCTGCTTTACCCATCATCCTCTCCAGAACAGCGGCTGAAATCCAGCAGAAGACTGGGATGTGACACATGATGAACAGACTTCTTGATGATCGGATGTGTGTGACGATTCTATCAGCCAGACTCGGATCATTTATTCTCTTCCTGAAATATTCCTCCTTCTGAGGGTCGTTGAATCCTCGTACCTCTGTGACCTGGTGGACACACTCAGGAGGGATCTGATTGGCTGCTGCTGGTCGAGAGGTGATCCAGAGGAGAGCAGAAGGAAGTAGATTCCCCTTGATGAGGTTGGTCAGCAGCACATCCACTGAGGCTGATTCTGTTACATCAGACAAGCTTGGATTGTTTTGGAAATCTAGAGAGAGCTGTAGATCTCATTCAGACGTGTTGAGTCTCCATGATTGGACATTCCTTCATTGATTCTCTGATATTTATCCTGTAGTCTGGATTTGAGTTTTTGTTGATACACAGGCATCAGTTCTGAGTAAAGGAAATAAATGTTATTTACTAATAACAAATTAGTTGAACAATAGTGAATAAAAAAATAGTTAACACATATGTTTATTTAATTTAACATTTTTCAGATTATATGCATAGGAGGACATGCAATGTTTTAGTTTTTTTTTATGTTTGATATGTTTCATATTATGCATTTTTTAAGGTTCTTGGCAGGGTATAATCTGCTGATCCAGAGCTCTTACTGGTCTGTAGTGTGTTAGCAAGGTCTGTCTGGTTCATCTTCCTCAGGATGTGCAGTGTGATCTTCAGAAGCCCTTCTCTGACTCTGCTATGACCCTCATTATCATAATGCTCTCTTTCAGAGCATTCTGTGTAATCTGGACTCAACAGTCTTCTAAAACATTCCAGCTCAGTCTTCATTACAGAGATGATTTTCTGCTCAAGCTCCTGAAATAATGAATATTCAAACAATGAACATACATTCAGTTACTTGAAGGGTGAACCAAAGGATCAATACACAAGAGTCAAGACTGAATTTATCAGAGGTGTAAAGTCCAGGGGTCAGAAAGTAAAAGTCCTGCCATATATTTGTCATGTGATCTGGGAAAACCCGTCAGATGTTGTGTTGGGACGTTTTCAGGAAATTCGAAAAATAGGTTGAATGTCATTTTTTGTCAAAATTAGGGTTTCATTCAATTATTAATCTATAACATATTGTCTATCATCTCTGAAAATATCTTGGCAAAATTCACTCAGAAAAATAGCAATTTATTGCATTTTACCTCTGATTCACCGCAATGTCCGAACTGTCCTGAGCGCGTTCTCAACAGCCGGAGTGTGACGCGTCTTCTTCTTATTATTGCTTTACGGCAGATCGCAGACTTTAAAAACTCTATGGAGTGTCAATGGTCCATTTGAGAGATAGGTGGCGGTAATGCACTTATAAGTCTGCGATCCACCAAAAAGCAAGAAGAAGATTAGGACAGTTCGGACATTGCTGTGAATCATAGCTAAAAAAAACTATATAAATACTGTTCAAATTTTCATTTTTGAGTGAACTATCCCTTTAAGAACACGCTGCGGAGGTGCTTTCTCTTAACACCACAAAAACAGTTAACCTATCAAAATAAACCACGTAACACATATAATAAAGGTGTATCAATGCACATTTCCCACCAGTCCTGCGTAAACTACGGCATGCAAACCACGCCTTCTTTCTTTGCGTGCACATTTGGGCGGCATTATGCTAATATTTCCACATAGTGAGGTAGATATGTGGGGGCGTGTTAGAACGAGCCGTTTTAGGGGGGCGTGGCAGAGTCTTAACTTTGATAAAGAATATCTCTTTGGTTTTGAGACTTTAATCTTTGCAACTTCAGGGATCTTATCTATGCACAATCAGCTTGTAACACTCCAAAGAGAAAGGAAAACTTGAAATCGCATCATATGACCCCTTTAATGAATTAATTTTTTAATATCATGAGATGGCGGAGTGCAAGAAAACAACGCAGTCTGAAGCTGCTCACTTAGATGATCTTGCTTGTCTCAGTCTGCTCAATCTTGGTGACGTCAGTGCCCTAAAATATGTTATAATGGATTATTTCACATCCAGAGATGAAGGATCGGATGATGAAGTTATTTTTTAATATCGTGAGATGGCGGAGCGCAAGAAAACAATGCAGTCTGAAGCTGCTCACTTAGACGATCTTGCTCGTCTCAGTCTGCTCAATCTTGGTGATGTCAGTGCCCTAAAAGATGTTATAATAGACAATTTCACATCCAGAGATGAAGGATACTAAAGAGGAGGAGTCCGATGACAGTCTGTTATATGCACAGGTGCGCTGCGCTCGCTTTTCTAAATGTAAATTACAAGGTACACTATTCGTGCTATCTAAACATACAAGGGGTGATCAAAAGTTCAGAGACTATGCCCATAATGATAAACAACGGAAAACTGTCCTCTTCAGGGTAATGTTAGTCTGTTTGTGCAATGATGCAGTATAGCGCTCCTGACAGACAGCGATCATTAAGTAGAAGTGAAAGTGAAACCCGTCTCAATTTAAACCCGATTTTCTCAAAATTCCATTCCGGAAAATCATAGCTATAAGCCAACTTCAGATTGCCATAACTTTTGTTAAGTTCAAGCTATGGACAACATAAAAAGTTTTGGAAAGGGCTTTAACCCAGCTTTCATATGGTATCAAAACCTAAAGCTCGGGATACACTGCAAGATTTTTGGCTGTCCCAGACGAAAGAGCCATCGTGAAGCAATCGTGGTGATTTCTGTGATCGTGGCTCTTAATCGGTGGTCCTATGTCGTACAGTGAGAGAGGTTCAAAGACAGGCGTTTTCTCGGTCTTGCGACCAAAGATAGCCTACGATAGTTTTCTGACAGTGTCAGAAATTCAGCATGATCAACGCACAGTGTGTTTGCTGCAACGACCTGCGTCTACTCAGCAGCCAATGAAATTGCAACATGAATTGACGTATTGATCCACGCAACCAGCAGCGCTACAATTTCAATGCCATGGGTTCAACACTGGTGTGCAAAGTGTTTTTAAAGCTCTTCATATCTTTTCATTAATATGCAGTTGTGATAAATAATCTATATCACACATTACCACTGATGACATCAGTGAACCTGGCTACAACATGACAACTATGTCATTAACAAAAAAACAGCCAATATAATCTAAACCCATTTCCTCTTGGCTTTTCTTACTTTAACCAATGTAAAACTGTGTTTCATAAACACAGTTACAGCAACCAGAGAAAAACTAATGTTAAAAAGTCAAGGGTCAAGAGCCCAACTAAAGCAAACGCTTATCTCCACAATGGTGACTTCAAATTGTCTTATTAAGAATTAACAGAGATTTAGATGTTAATGTTTATTGAAAATAAGAAATTTTTAGATGCATGACAAACAAAAATTTAAACTCGTTAGTAATGTGTGAAGTTTGTGATGCTGTTTGTGGAGATGATTAATCATCT